TAGCTAGGGAAAATAAAGAAGAAAGTTCTGAGCCACATTTAAGTGAAAATAGCATTCTGTTCTTTACTACCCAGATTCAAATTAGTCCTCCAGTCCCTGGAAACTGATCCATTCGTCCAACTTACTTAAAGATTAGTCATCTACTATGTGCCAGGCAATGTTTTTGAACAGGAAACACAACATAAATGATGCACAATTTCAGTCTTTAAAGAATTCAAAATATATTGGGAAGACTTACCAAAAGATGATGACAATACAATGCAATTGCTATGATGGGGGGATGTGCAAGGGTCTGTGGGAGCCTAAAGCAGAGAGCCTTCGGGAACAGCACCCCTTGGGGAAATGACTTCATAGAGAAGGTAACATCTGAGCAGTCATATCAGGTCTGCTTGATGTGTTTCGAACATGGGGGCAGGGTACAGAGGGGGATTCCAGAAAGAAGACAGTTAATGCAGAGATCTTAAGGTCAGAACAAGCACATTCTTCTATGACCAGAAAGAGGAAAATAAGGGGGGGGGGGCGGCGGAGATAATGTTGGAAAGGAAGGACAAGGACTTATGTATGAAGGGTCTTGGTTATCTTTATGAGGAATGTGAAATTATTTTGTAGGCAGTGGAAAAGCAACAAAAATTGAAGCAAAGACAATTATAGGAAGTTGTCCTTGCAACCACTGTACATTTTTTCCCCTGTATCCCCTCTAATTTCATCCCCTGTCTTCTCTTAAGTCATGTTCTTAAATTCCTTTAAACATACTCAAGTAATAATAATCTCTTATATTTGATATATTGGAATCTGAGGTCTAATTTGATTAGGACCCTTACCTCCATTCCTATTTATCACCATAGGAAGCACAGGAGAAGACACCCCTCTCCCCTGGGACTCTAATTCCCATAGGACTTCTGCATTGCTGTCTGTCCCTCCATTTCCTTCCCTTCTCTAACTTCTGAAACTTTAGAGAAGTTTCAAGTCAATCATTAGCAAAATCCCCTTAATAATCAACTTATTTTGAGACTATTTCCTTTAGGTTCTTTTTTGTTACTAACACTGATCTCTCCATTGATTATACTCTTTCTCTTACATTCCTTTTGTTTTCTCCTTCTACCGCAAGGGCTGGAGTCATGGTATACCTCCCACCTTATTTCTTTTTAATGGTACTTTAAGATTATTCTCCTTTCCTCCTCCATAAAAACTTCAAGTTTTGACTGTGATTTTGTCAAACTGTTCCATCCACTGTCTCTCCTTGCTATAATCATCTACTAATTCTCAAGTCATTTTCCCTCCTTCTTTGATGATCTTATTTCCTGGTTCAATCCTACTCTCAACACTATTCTTGTTTTAATTCTCGGTGATCTTATTGTTGATGTAGAAAATTTTGCCAGTGTTCTGAGCTCTTAGATATTGAATCTCCTCTCCAATTTCATATTCCATCCCAACTCAGAGACTCACTTCCATGGGTATATCCTTGACATTGCTCTTACAAATCACAATTTTGAATATCTACTGTGACTATCACTGAATATTTTTCTAGCTCACTCCTGCTAATATCATGACTAAAAACACAAAAACAAATAAAAACAAAAACCTTTGACCACTTCAGGATTTAAGAGTTGATCTTAAATTGACCTTATCACCCTCCTTCCTCATCCCATGCTATTCCTTCCTTCCTACATGACACAAATACCATGGCAAAGTAAAAAATTACTGCCTTACATATACCCACAGCTCCTTTGTCTTTCCTTCTGCTTTTCACAGTTACCTAGAGATACCAAAAGTCTGGTGAGATCAATACTGCCACTTTGATATCTGCATACACACCACCAAATACGGCTGAAGAAGGAAGACATAGCACATAATGAAGCCAATCTCACTTTAAATTCATGATCGTGAATGCTGCCTGACAATGATCTGATATTTCCCTAGTCCTCTCCTTACAACTGAACTATTCAAATATTTCATACATTCTTCTCTCATTTTCCTATTATTCTCTCAGTTGATGAATCTTCCTGTTTCACTAAGCAAATTAAAGCATTCAGAACTTAACACTCAAAAAAAGGAACTCTTGGTTTTGCTTCCTACCTCTCACCGCCACCAACACAAAAAGCAACAAAAACATGTTCGTCCTATGGTTTTCTCCATCTCAGTGAATGGCAACTTCATTCTTCTAGGTGTAGGGCCAGAAAACGTGGTGCTGTCTTTGATGGTTTCCTTTGCTCATATCTTGCATCTTGTCCTTTAAGAAACCCTGTGATTCTCCTTTCAGTATATGTGCTGCTGAAGCGAGCACTGTGATTCTCCTTTCAAAATATATCAAGAATGTTATGCTTCTGTCTACCTCATTACTTCCACTTTGGTCCAGGTGACCAGCATTTTTGCCTGAATTATTGCACTAACTTCAGAGATGGAATCATGCTGCTTCCCTTGTCCACTGTACTTGATTCTCGAGAGCAATCACCAGAGTGGTCCTGTTTGAAATATAAGTCGGATTATGTCCTTCCTCTACTCAAAAACTTAAAATTATCCCCATCACAGTCAGACTAGAAGCCCAAACCATTACTATTATTTAAAATTCCAGGGCGCCTGGGTGGCTCAGTTGGTTAAGCGACTGCCTTCGGCTCAGGTCATGATCCTGGAGTCCCCGGATCGAGTCCCGCATCGGGCTCCCTGCTCGGCAGGGAGCCTGCTTCTCCCTCTGACCCTCCCCCCTCTCATGTGCTCTCTCTCTCTCATTCTCTCTGGCTCAAATAAATAAATAAAATCTTAAAAAAAAAAAAAAATTAAAAAAAAAAAATAAATAAAATAAAATAAAATTCCATACATGTTTTCATCTCTGACTTCATCTTTTCTCTGCCTTACTATTTCTCCGTATCATATATCACTATGTAACATTCTGTATATTTTACTTTTCTATCTTGATTCTTTCCAGTACCATAAGGACATGGATGTTCGTTTGTTTTGTTCACTACTATATTGCGAAAGCCTAGATCAATGCCTAACTCATAGTAGGCATGTTTCGCATGGCTACATTATCTAATCTGTTGTGCATGCTAATACTTTTATAGTTGTGTGATTTACTGCAGTAATTCAAAGGATGATCTCTAATCAGACTCAGAAAAGTTTGAATTTCATCTGCACCTTGCTACATGAATTTGCAAATTGCATTTAATGTCTCCAAGTCTTGTCTTCTCATTTTAAAAATGGACATAATAGGGCGCCTGGGTGGCTCAGTTGGTTAAGCGACTGCCTTCGGCTCAGGTCATGATCCTGGAGTCCCAGGATCGAGTCCCGCATCTGGCTCCCTGCTCGGCAGGGGGTCTGCCTCTCCCTCTGCCCTCTTCCCTCTCGTGCTCTCTGTCTCTCATTCTCTCTCTCTCAAATAAATAAATAAAATCTTTAAAAATAAATAAATAAATAAATAAATAAATAAATAATAAAAATAAAAATGGACATAATAATAGTAACTGACTCAAAGGATAATTGTAAGAGTTAAATGAGAAAATGCAGGTAAAATGTTCAAAATGTCCAGGGCAAAGCTAGCAAACTTTTAATAAATCTGGTTAATATTTTTTAATTAAAGCTAATACATATTATATTATTTTTCTTTTTGTGTCTTCATTTGCACATTTAAGTAATTTTATAAGAGGAGAAGATAAGCTCTTTGAGATTGGAAATGTTAACTTCTATTTCCTTCTAAACCCTTCCAATTTGTTTCACACCAGTATTTAATCAGTTATTCTTTGAGAGTCAGGCCCCTGAAGTGTTTTGAATGGCTCATTTTCAGTATGCTAAGGTCATATGATGAAGCAGCCCCATGGTTTCACCCATTTTTCTATGACAGACTACTCCGGAGTAGGAAAAAAATGTTATGTACTCAGCTTTTGTGTAAAAACAAGACAAAACAAAACAAAAACCTCTGAAGGGAATTACCACAGTGCATTATAAAAATGTTTGGAAGAGAGTTTTCCTAAAAATGACACTCAGGAAGTCCGTTGAAATCATTTGCAATTCATCTATGCAAAACTTTACACTTTATGTTCAATCATTTTAAACTTTCCACTTAGGAACACACCCTTAGAAGTCTAATAGTCTAAACTGTTGGATGCTCACATAGTTTAACTAAATTTTTAGAATTAACAAATATACATGTAAGACTGGCTCTTTTGCTCATGAGTTTAATTATGATGATCCAGAACAGGGCAACATGTAGGGGTCATCCGCAGGGCTGTGACAACACAAAGCTTCCCTGAGAGTCTGCACTAAATAGACTTCACGGTGCAAGTTTACCACAGGTGGGAGAGATTTTTTTTTTCTTCCATGAGAAACAGCCACTCTAAATAAATATATTTTGTTCAGATTGCATATGAGTTGATTAGAATTTGTATTCACAAAGCTAGGACTAGAATCCTGGTTATAACTGCTAGCCTATGACTTTTATTTTACACTTCTGTATTCCTATATTCTAGGCTAATTTAAAGAAAAGCCTTCATCTAGGAGTTAAAATAACCTTGAGTTCTAGTCACACCTCTTGTAAATGCAAAGATTTGCTGTTCTTGACAAGACTTGTTCACCTTTATGCCTTAGTTTACTCACTGTGTCAAAGTAGGGATTGTATCTGCCCTGTATTTTTTACTGCTTGTTAGCATTATGTGCGATGTAAAGATATTTAAAAGTATATCACGTACTTTCCAATCAGAAGGATATTTCAACAGCAGTAGTAGCAATCTCTGATGCTCCTGCTCTTTCTTCAACTTTTAGTCTTTGTTCTTCCCATTCAGTTTCTAAATTTCTGTGACTACATTAACATCACCTCCCACCCCCCACCTTTTCAGAAATAGCACATTGGATTTTGCCAGTAGAAAGTCCAATGATAAAATCACACTGATAGTGAAATAAAGAGCTCCTCCTATTTTTCTTGGGTGAAATTTTGATAACACCAAATTGTCCTTTCCAATTCTGTACTTGGATATTAGTTACAATAGCATCTTTTCTTCTCATTTTCACAGGAAATGACTTATTTCTTGTAGCAGTTCACGAACTGGGACATGCTCTGGGATTGGAGCATTCCAATGACCCCACTGCCATCATGGCCCCATTTTACCAGTACATGGAAACTGACAACTTCAAACTACCTAATGATGATTTGCAAGGCATCCAGAAAATTTATGGTAGGTTACCACTGTTTCTGTTTGGTTAACCCTACAGTGAAGTCCAGAATTCCTGCTGTGTTTTCTTCTTTGAGATGGATGCTCTAAGTATATGAGAAAGATAAATACCGAGAAATAAGAAAAAAAATAGTCTGGCCTATTGGCAGAAGTCTTATATCAATCAAGTTTTGTTGGCAGTAGTCCAGATATCTTAATATACAGATTATAGTAAATCTACACACTGATAAATTTTTCTCACTGAGTTTAATTGAAACCTGCAGTTACAGCAAAGATCTGACAAACTTTAGTATTTAAAATTCAGGTAAAAAAATATAATAAATGAATATAACCAATAAAAGCAGTGAGAAATATAAGATCTTCTTATAAGATACTGAGATTTTGGTAAAAACTGACAAATTGACCCTCAGTTTATGATACTTGATGTTAGACAGTTACGGGATAAATCCCTTTTGAGGTTGCAGAACATACTCTTGTGTAATGGCTATAATAAAAAGACCTCAAAAGCGTGTAATTATTGACTAAGTGAAAGTTAACAAACATGGAAGTGGAAGTTAACAAATGGCAAAGTTTACTTACACCTGATTCAAAATAAATTTCTAATATACTAAGATCATTTTTATTTATGGGGTTCAGTCAGTGAATACAAATTAAGACAAAGGGAGAAAGACTATAATCCTAACTCCGTCAACAGAACCACTGACCTTTATAAAGACATTTATTTCACACATAATTGTTAAGAAATTGACATTTATAATTTACATATAGAGAGTATGCTTTACTAAATTAATGAAGTGATGCTTTCATTTTACAATACAAAGGCAAATGTGTGTTATCTGTATGTTAATATCCAGTATCCAGAAGGTGTCATTTGCATTTTTAAATAGCATAGTTTAAGTTCACTAAGTTGTTTTGCATTCATTAGTTTTTCAATTTCAGTATCTCAGTGGTAACCATTCTCTCAGGGTCAAAATAGGTTTTGGAGAAAAAAAAAATGTCAGCTTTTGTGCTGCTCTTTATTTTGGGGATACTGAGAAAAGGGAAATGTCTCAGACTCAAAACTAAGTTGCACATGTGTCGAACGTGCTAGCCTGTGCCTAATTTGTGCCATCAGAAATTCCTCCTAAGTGGTTAACTGAGGTTAGGGAAGGCTCTTTCTCATGACCTCATGAATTAGTAGTCTAGACTGAAGGTCTGCAAAAGGATATTCTTTCCGTGTCTAAATATTAAGTGCGAACAGCTCTGTATTTCTTTTTAAAAACATAAATTCCTTGAGGAATGATGCTTTACATCTGTACCAAATTACATGTGTAGACTTTGGCTTAATTTAGAAACCTCTTTTTAGAAATACTTCTTCACATTAATATTTTACTAGTGGCGTTTTAATCAATAGGTGTTTCAGATTCAGTATTCAAATGAAACACTCATCTGGCAATTTGTCAAAACATGTCATTAGAAGAAAATAATGAAAGTCAGGAAAAGGTTATAAATACAGTTGGAGACACAGGATAGAATGATTCGTTAATGTTTATCCTTTAGAACTATTTGCATAGAATCATTGTCTATCAAAACCTAGGATTAACTTCGGTGGAGCTTACATGCCTGGTTCCAGTATTCATCTTCATTTATGTATTATTTATACACCACCTACTTCCAAAAAAGATTTGAAAGCAGATTTTCCAATAAGGACTCTGGCGAAGCTGTAAAAAAATATCATTAAAAATTAACAAAGAAAGTTCAGTGAATTGGATTCAGAACTTAGCATGATAAGGACTTTCTGAGAGACTTGGCAGTGTTGTGTTGGGTACGATGGTTTGTTTTTTCAGAAAACATACAATCTTAAAGACTTCTTAGCTCACTTAATCTGTGCCCTCCCCTCATGAGTGCTTGTCCTTGGCAGCAGACTGTCCAGCACTATTCCAGTGTTAAGTGAGCCAAGTGCTTTCCTCATATTTTCAAAGGTCCACCTGACAAGACTCCTCCACCGACAAGACCTCTACCGACAATGCCCCCACACCGCTCCATTCCTCCCGCCGACCCACGCAAGAATGACAGGCCCAAACCTCCTCGGCCTCCCACTGGCAGACCTTCCTATCCTGGAGCCAAACCCAACATCTGCGATGGGAACTTTAACACTCTAGCTATTCTTCGCCGGGAGATGTTTGTTTTCAAGGTAGGAGGCTGTGATTTTTTTTTTTTTTTAACAGTAGATCAAGTGTCTACAGTGTCGCTTTAGAAAACAAGTTCTCATTCATTCTCACACTACCTTCCCAGACCACTCACAGTTAGAAGTTTCAAAAAAGCATCTTAAAAAATAAACGCACAAATGGGCTTAAATGTCTAGCAGAAGATTGCTGTAACGTTCTATTTGAGGAATGCATTTATGTCAGCAGAAGCTAAAATGCCTAGAAATGTGAGGGTAAGAAAATGCTGCATGTTACAAACAGATAAAAAAGCATAATTGAAATCATGAATAGGAACTAATAGGGATGATTTGCTTGGGAGCTTAGCCACTTCAGGCGCGCTAGAGCTATTCTATCTTTGATTTGCACATCTTTATGAGATCCCTATGATTTCACTTGACAATTAAAGCATTGTTTTTTAGAAGTAGTAGTGATCATTTTGTTTGGGGTCTACTGGCAGGAATTTGAGTTAATATGAAACCATCATTTTGATTTTACAAAAGTGTATGTTGTTTTCTTTAGTCAGGCGTTTATATATACCTGATTTATATTATTTTTTAAGAAGGTTACAAGTAAAACTAATATTACATTTTGCTAAGTGTGCCTTTTAATGTCATTGGGTTCTCAGACAATAACAAGCAGTGTATTAAAGTAAGTTACATAATGAACTTACAAAGTAAGTTTAATCTAATGTTGAAAGGTGAATATAGTGTAATAGTGAAAAATATTTTCTCCCTCAATATTGTAAACTGATCTGAAAGACTGATGAGAAAATATAAGTGTTATGTTGGCATTAGCGTATTAAAATAACTACATCTTAGCAATACCATCCATTTAAAAAGAAAATAATGTGCTCTCTTTTTGGGTAGACGTGAATCAATAAATAATGAAATATTATCCTACTTATACAGAATTTCCTATCTACCAGAGGCTACACTTTAAAAATATAGATTTCATATAATTTTTAATAGACAAAGTACTCTATTTCCTTTATTGGAAAATAAGATTTGGATTTGATATAATATGCACAAGAGCATCATACTTTCCAGGAAAAATCGATGCTTTCGTTCAAACACATGAATAGATTTTTGAATTCTGTAAGTGCTCTGCAATGCTTAATTAGATATCTTCCATTCAATTTAAGTAGATTAATAAATTTAGATTCAAGGAGTAAAAAATAAAAGCTCTCTCTCTCTCTTCTCTCCTTCTCTTTATATATAGCCACTCATTGTGGCTCAGTCCGCAGCAACTAGTTGAAATGAAAACAAAATGCAGTCATTTGTGTATTCTACAAGACACCAAATGACATTTGAAGGATTTTGTTTTCGCCATTTTGGCCAAATTCCAACATCCCAGCTTTATAGCTTGATATCATAGTCATATCAACAAAGTGATAAACTTATCGGAGAATATGATGTGAAATGGACTCTGGGTACATCCTTTCCATCCTTCCTATCTGTCTAACTAGATGGCCGATCTCAGAAAAGACTGATATCTTCAAGTGTAACAATCATTTTCACCAGCCATTCTGCTCCGCACACTGGGAGTGTTCTTGATTGACAAATGAGGTCTTGTGATCACTGGTTCCTGGAATCAGGAATGGATAAAAAGCACATAGGCCAACTCTCAAGTAGAATACAGTAGCTACTATTATTAATATCAGAACAGGTATATGAAAAATATGAGTAAGGTCTGCTTCTCTAACCTCTCATGTTACCTTGGCTTCCTTAATCAAAACTCTATAGGAGAGGGGCGCCTGGGTGGCTCAGTCATTGGGCGTCTGCCTTCGGCTCAGGTCATGATCCCAGTGTCCTGGGATCGAGCCCCGCATCGGTCTCCCTGCTCAGCAGGAAACCTGCTTCTGTCTCTCCCTCTCCCACTCCCCCTGCTTGTGTTCCCTCTCTCACTGTGTCTCTCTCTGTCAAAAAAATAAATAAAAAATCTTAAAAAAAAAAAAAAAACTCTATAGGAGAGAGTTCCGAAACTCTATCTGAATAATTTCTTTTTTCCACTGGTCCCTGCCCTCTCTAAGAATGATTACTGTTGAGGATATCTTCTGATAGGCATTGCATTCTTTTTAATCTCCACTTACTTGATGGATTTTGTGTGACATGACTTGATAATTTTCATACTCATCTCTTCTTCTGTAGAAAGCCCAGGGTAGTTTACTAGGCACCAGGGATGTAGAATAGAAGGTAGCGCCCCTGTCTTTATGGAGCTCATATTCCAGGAGTGAAGACAAACATGACCCTAAGTACTTTCAAGATGTAGGAGTAAAAGGTACAACATGGACATGAAGAGAACGTACTGAAGTCTAGTTGAATAGTTCAAGAAAACTTGACTGAGAAAAAGCTTATGCTGAATTTTGAGAGAAAAATTTCTTAGGCACATTAAAGAAATTGGTATTTGGTGTACTAAAAAGTTGGTGTATTGAGGGAGAGAAAATAGATATATTAACTCTAGTGCAAAGTGACAAATTATATAAATTGGAAATAAACAAGAAAGCATGATTGAGTGATACCTGCTCTTAATTAATAGCTACTGTGGATTGAGTAACTAATATGTCCCCAAATGTATCTGGGCACTTTACATCCATAATCTCTAAATCTGATAATAACTCTGCAAGATGCACAGAATTCTCTATTTTACAAATGAGAAAACTGAGAATCAGAAAAGTTAGGTAGTTAGTCTGAGTTACAAGGTTTGTAAGTATTAGTAGATGAACGCAAGTCTACTTGATTCTAAAATCTATGGTTTTCCCACTAAGCTTTGCTACCTGAAAGAATAAGGGGAAGTTCAAATGAAAGGTGGTAGGCTTTAAACTATATCTTAAAATAATAAATATGCAAGAAATATTTATTGAGCTCCTACTGTGAGATGCTGTTTTAGGCACCGGCCATGTGTTAGTAAACAAAACAGCTAGACCCTGGCTTCTTGGAGCTTACATTCTAGCTTTCAAAGTGCTTCACACAGAGGTTCTCCATGGGTCACTGAACTATGTGGGAAAGCATCCACAAATTCTGTTTTCCTTTAGTAATAACTGCTGGCCCACTAAGTTATCCCTTTATACCCAAATAGACTAGACTAACTTTACCTCAAATTAATGTCATTTCCCCATATGTGTTCTACTTGCCTGAAATTACTCTCTGCCAGTCTCTCTTGTGCATACCTGCCTTTTAAATTTTCTTTTAATATACTCATCATTAGTTTCATAGTTTGCTCCTTATCAACTATTCCTTGAAGTATATTTTAGGATCACCCACTCTTTGATCTCACTTTTACTAATGTAACTTGATTCTCTACTTTTCTTCACTACAGATTTTCTACACAAATTAGAAACCTCTTTATCTCCTCAACCCTTACCCACCCAACACTCATTTCACTGTGGTTTTAATATCTGGGGCTTCCTTGCAAGCCTCTGCTTATCTAAAACTTCCCTCCTCAATGCCTTCCACATGTCCCAACCTCTCTGACTATTCTTCAACCCCATATCTCTTTCTAGTGATTTCTGTATTTATTCTCTACATTCAATTAGCATATTTTAAATTTCTATCTTCTCTATTTCTCATGGTAGTACATTCCTTAACTAGATTATAAACTTCGTCAAAGCAGGGATTGGTTCATATGGGCTTCATAATGCTCAAGCTAATGAATAAGGATCTCAGTATAAGAATTATCTAATGAAAATAGAGCTACTATTGTGTTTATACAACAGTAATCAACCAATATGACGTTACTGAAAATACTTCATTCTACTAGTTTGTTATGCCTTGCCCAAAGATTTCCGTATGCTTTACTTAAAATCCGTATGTATGTTTTTACTTAAATTCTGAAAATCTATATATAAGTAAAAGGTAATATCATCAGATAATTTTGTTTTCTTATTAGAAAGGAACTTTTCTTTAGAATGGTAGTTGTAGCATAATTCTTTTTAGGAGCAAAATTCCTCTTCAGAGATTTGATTTACATTGAGCTTTGCAGACACTCATTTATTTGAAGTGAGTTCACCTGGATATGTGTCTAAATGGAAATATAACAAGCATTACATATATATAATGTACAACATATATTTTAATTATATATGTGTGTGTGTATATATATTTCTGTCCCATCCTATAGATAAAATCCTGAATATATTCACATGAGAAAGTTAAGCCTTCCATGCAGCTTCATAATCTTTGGGGAACATAAACCACCTAAAGCAAGAAAATGAAAATCAAAACAAAATGCCAAGGAACAGAGGAATAAAATAGTGATACAAGAGAAGCTTTGTCCTTCCTCAAAAGAGGTGATTTTTAAGAGTGTTCCCTGCAGAGTTTATACTGTGTATATCACAGGAGGCTTCTGTTGTGACCAAGCTGACAACAGGAAAATCTGACTGTTCAAATGAAGACTCAAAGTTCTTTGGGACTATAAGATAAAAACATGGACTATTTAGCTATTTTGTGGTGTAAAAGAAAGTGGAATTAGCCAAACTTGTATAGGATATGTTTCAGCACACAATATTTTGTTATATGGGAAAGAATGCAGTAGTAACTCTTCTTCCTGAAATTGAAGATAGGAAGAGAAACTGTATCCACACCTGCAGTTCTTTTAGCATGTGCAGACACATGTGTGTGCATGCACACATGCTCACACACATACACACACACACACACACACAAGGTTTCACTTGGCAACTGACCAGTTCTTTAAATCAAGGGGAAAGGGGAACAAACAAAGGCCAGTGCTTTACAGTAGAGCTAGAAAGGATAGTGTTAAAAGGCACTTTTACACTGTTTCGTGGAACAGCATTCACGGAAGTACAGTAAAGTGTCTTTCCAATTAGTAGAGAAGAAGGCTTAAGGCTCTGAGTAAGGAAAGCATTTCACTGTATACCAAGAAAACCACAAAAAAAACTTATTACCTACTTAATTCTACTGAAGAATCACAGTTCCTTTTATTTCCACAGAAACAGATCTGTCCAGGTTCTGTCCTTATTAATACTAGC